AAAAATTAAAATTTACAAGACATGTGGATCATATTCGACCGAGATAATCAACTTTTAAAAGTGTCCGAAATTCGAGTTTAAGTGTCCGAAATTTGAATCGGCACGGTACCTATAAGTCATTTGTATTGAATAAATCGCACCGATATTCTATGATGTTTCTATAGAAACTATATGCTGGATTACAATTGAATAGAATTGTTCATATATGTTTGTATGAATGATTGATTTGATTGGAATCCACAAAAAAAGAGTCAAAGCCCAACATCCATGCCATGAAAGTCCTACAGTAGAACTTACCGCATAAATATGGTTAAAAAAACCATTTTCGATAATTACAGTAGAATTAACTACAATTTCGTTTAAAACAAAAGTAATTTATAATATTGTTGGTTTAATCGCTTTTGTATTTGTTTTTACCAAAAAAAAATTGTTCACCGTACTATGTTGACGTTTTCGATGCAGCATGGTAAAATCAATAACAGCAGTATTTATTTCAAATACAATATTCGTTCTACCGAAATTTAGTGGTATTTTGTTTTCATTTTTAACCTACGAAATAGTACGGGCACAGACAAACAGACATAACACTTGCAAGTTGTTCGTCGAACAAGCATTTAACGGACAATTTAAAAGTGTCGTAGTTGGTAGTACCGCCACCTGTGGCGCGCATAGTCAATTCCCTTGCGTTTGTCGTTTACACACTGCCGCCATCTGTTCAGTGAGTGCCCACCAGAGTGTACTCAACAGATGACGGTAATGTTTTAGCGACGATGTTTTACAGTGAGAAATATTCAATGTGTTATATCTGTTTGTCTGTGGTACGGGTTACCATGGGTCTGTTTTCAGTGAACTGATGGCGATGAATCGGTTATTTCAGTGCTACCCTAGAAAAATCATTCTGCAATCCTGGCATCATTGGTCAACTCCGTCAAACACCATGCACTAATTTTCGACGGGCATTCATCAAAAACATTAAGAAGAGTGAGAAGCTGGATTGTCAAGTGCCGTCCCGGGTTTACAGTAATTTCTGACACTTATTGAAGGTTCGACGTTTCCCTCCTCTCTTTCCCCCTTCTAGGAACAGAGTTACTGTCAAAAACAACAACGAACAACTGCATTTTAAGACCCGTGCAAGCCGCCATTAACGAGCGTGGAAACCTGAATACACTATCTATACACTTACACTTTATATATTTATTAAAGTGAAGTTAAAGCATTTGCGCACTCAAAAATATTACAAAACCAATTGATGAATCTACGCGAAACCGCACCAGTACATGCGACACCTAGGTTTGAAATCCAAAACCACAAAAGTGATGATGTACTAAAAAATATTCCATACGATTTGACAGGTAGCAAAACGTGATTATCATTTTAACATCATTTCCATCTGCTGGACGACCGTAACGTAAATTCATCAATATTGATTAAATTTTATGCATTTTATGATTAATCAAAATTTATACATTGGTCCGATTAATATTTTTCAAAACTATACTAAGTTTGTTGGTTTGATTATCGAAGTGGAATTCGATCAGTGTATACTAAAATGATCAGAAATGAGAATATCAAACACGATGGCACCCGTAGTCGTTTTTCAGTTCACATTGAAAGTGGTAACGTTCTCAAATGGTTCCCCTAATAAAATTGTCTATGGTTTTGGTTGTTAAGTTGCTGAGGATCTTGCTTTGGTTTGAGATATAGGGCTTTTTAATAGAAACTAAACGATCGATTCAACTTCAGGTGGTGAATAGGAGAACGTCAAAAAGAGTGTTGTGAGCATACATTTTTGCCTTGAGACATAGGAACCGGAACACTTTTTTACTTTTTTCTGATAAATTGATTCATCTGAGATGCTGCAAAACTTAATCTACAGTTGAAAAATTTAATTCTGTAACGTTTTTGAAAAGATCCTGCTGGTGTTCAGGAATATTTTTGTTGAGAAAAATGGAAAGTTAGAAAAGTGCCTAGTGGTTATGATCTTCCGGATTTCTTGTGAATAGTTAAGGTGCAAATCAGTTCAGATTTGTGGAAAATCGTACAATAAGACAATTACCGAAGGAAATTGGCAAGATGTTGAATGAAAAATGCTTTAATTTGCGTTGTGAAAAATAGTTATTCTGATGTGAACAAACGGTTTGATGACGTTTCTTCTCGAACTCGCGGGCGCACTCTACGTTGATGGTCCATTAAAAAGGCGTATTGGGTGATAAGAGAAAGTCCATTTGTATTGCGGTGGTCGGGATTTTGGCAGGTTTCATATTTGGTCGAAGAGGCCGGCCTCGCGGAGGAAGCCCATTAATGCTGTGATTTTAGTCGGGTCGTTACTCAGTGCGTCCTTAATGCTGCCCGGTATGCCATACAGCTCTCGTGAGCCTTCGTATTGAGTACAGTGGCAGATTATGTGTTCCACTGAATAGTTGGAGCGGCAGAGCTCGCAACATTTCCGGAACGAGCCGCTCCCAGAAAAGTTATGCGAGACTCTGGTATGGCCTGTTCTGAGTCTTGCCAGGACAACCTGAGTTCGGTGGTCAGGGGGGTCTTGCCATCTTCGTGTGTCAGCCTTCACTTTTCTAAGGAAAATGCTAGTTGATTGGGACCATGTATTTGACCAGAAGTCCCAGATTTTGTTGGCAACCCATTTTTTCAGGTCCCCCGATGGAACCTCCTTGGTGAACAGAAGCCGCTAGATGATCCACCTCCGTATTACCACGAATGCCGCAGTGGCCCGGAATTCATACAAATGTAGTGTTTCGGGGGGCATATCGCTGAATGGCTTGGATCCATGAGTGCTTAATAGAGTCTGAGTTGAGGGCTAAAACTACACTTGCGGAGTCCGTAAATACGGCAATCGGCTTGTTTGAGGGAGTGGTAGCTCGTAGCAGCAATAAAAGCAGAGACCGCTTCTGCCGAGAATATAGTGTACTGGTCTGGAAGTCGATGAAGTACGGACATTTGGGGGCCCGTGATGCCGATGCCAACCCCTTTACGGGAAACCGATCCATCGGAGTAACGGATAGTGTGGTTGCAGTATCTGATTCTCTGGAGTTCTGCGACGGATCTCACAAGTGCCGTAGAGTTGGATCCTGCCTTGAACTTCTTCTTTATCGCCAAGTCGATAATGGGCCCGGGCAGGTTCCAATCTCTTTTTTTTTTATACAAGGGGGAATCTGCTCCCAGACACCTGAGAAGATAACTCAGGGTGTGGGGATGGGAGATGTAGCGCTCCCGACCCACTAGACCTTACCCTGTGCTCTAGGCCCTTGCCCTCCCGGAACCGCCCGAAGGCATTACGTCATGGGAGGGGGCCGGTTGCGCTATGGCGCATCACTAAGTGTTGTGTCAGATGTGACACTCACTACTGCACAGTGAGCAGCTGTGTAGGGCCTTCCTCTTGTTGATCGCTGTAAGTTGTTCGCCTGAGTTCTAGAGCAGACGTGATAGCCAGGCAACTGTCCAGGGCCAAACAGGACAGATGTGACCGCTTACCAGCTGCGTGTGCTAAGCACTCTAAGAACCCGGTGTCACTCCTGCCTTTGCCCAACGAGGGTTTGTGCAGGGCTTATCAACCTCCTGGGACGAGCTGGATAAGGGGTTCCAGCAACAATCAATACGAAACTAACGATTTTAAATTGGCTCACGACTTGACTAGCCTATTGGTCCCAAGCAAACGATTAACGTATCCCATTCTAGTCGAAATTCTAGTACTACACACTGTTTGTTTTGATTCGCTATGAAAGTTTGACAGATAAAATAAGGGGTTATTGGTTTTTCCTATGTTTCGAGGGGTGAATCGATTAGCTTGGGACCGTAGAGAATACCAGAGCTGAGCCAAAAAGTTGAGCACGTTATTTCGGGACCTCTATCGTAGTAGCATAGAGGTAACTCTAAGACCAGAAGGTCCCGAAGAAACGAGCTCAACTTTTTGGCTCAGCTCTGGTACTATCTTCGGTCCCAAGCTGATCGATTCACCCCTCGAAACATAGGAAAAACCAATAACCCCTCATTTTTCCTGTCAAACTTTCATAGCAAATCAAAACAAACATTGCGTAGTACTAGAATTTTGACTAGAATGGGGTACGTTAGTCGATTTGCTTGGGACCAATAGGCTAGTCAAGTAGTGAGCCAATTTGAAATCGTTAGTTTCGTATTGATTGTTGGTAGTAGGCCGGATGAGATACGGATAGCTTGGTGGTATGTAGAGGCTAGTTTCGTAATAAGTTGTTCGTGAGCGAGACAGATAGCTTCGATTCTATAAAGGAGACGTGATTCTAAAATTGTTCTAGCAACTCGAAGACGAATGGGCCGGTTACTGTCTGGGTGTCGTAGTTTGAAAATGGGTATTTTTTAACCCATTAATGGGTTTTCATGAAACACCGTGTAGGTGTTATTTGGTATACACACTTATTCTGGTCAACTCAAAATTGAGTCGAATGTACTCATCTCAGCGGCAAGTATGGCTACTCAAAATTGAGTAACCTTATGTTGACTCACTTTTGAGTAAACTACGTTCGCACGTAAATTGAGTGAAATCCACTCGCCGGTATTTTCAGTTGCAGGGAGGGTTTTTATTTTGGTTTTCATTCAAGGAAATGGAAATTGCCTGCTTCGGATTCCTTCTACCGGAGCAAAAAACGGTTCAACACCGTTTCCCTAAGCAATTCGTACTTACCTGAAGGCATTCCAGCCGGTTTTGAGTAACATTTTCTATGAGCTTTCCTCCGACATGACTGGCATTTTTTCTAAGTCCAAGATTTTGCTGACTGAGTGGCTTTTACTCAGTTTGACATTTCTCGTTTACTCAATTTTTGACAACTCGATACATCGGACGAAAGTGAGTACGATCGACTCATCTGGTGAGTAAGCAGAAGTTAGCGTGTATAAGATGCTCAAATTTGGCCGATGAGGAAAAAGCTAAGTGAGACGTGAGCACGTGAGAGAACGAAGAACTTTTTCTCTCTCTCATTCTACGCATCTGTCAAAAATAATTCAATATCGTCGCTTCGCAATCAAAACAACGGAAAATGTGTTTCGCGAATAACGAATAATTTTTAGCGAAATTTTGATGGTTTAGTACGTTTCGCTAGATCTTTTCAACTGATTCTCATCCAGTAAATCAACATTTAAGAATACACAATGAGTATCATCCAAAGAAAGTTATTTTCGGGGAGTTTTCCGCTGCTCAACATCGTCCGTCGATTAGGTAAGAGTGTCTTGTTTTCATCGTCGAAACCGGTAACTACACATTTTCACACCAACATTTTTCAGAACTACTATCCCCAGTTGCAGCTTCGTTGTCCACCAAGGCAGAACCCTTACCTACTGGCAGCGCAGCTCCGTCGTCGCAGCAACAATCCCGTCAGGCCAACCCTGCTACCACCGGCAGCGAAAGGAAGAGCATCGTTCCTCCGGAGTACCGGTTCATGTATCAGGAATTTCTGCCCGATCCAAAGATAGAATGGCGTAATCCGATTCGGGAAAAGCTCGAACGGCTGGACATGTTGGACCGTCGAGCGAACATCGACATTCCGGAATTTTACGTCGGGTCAGTGCTAGCTGTTACCAGTTCGGATGTTCACGCGGTGGGGAAAACTTCTCGTTTCGTTGGGATTTGTATCCTGAAGGAAAAGTGTGGTTTGAGGACAAGGTTCATACTGCGGAACGTGGTGGATAACCAGGGAATGGAGGTCATGTACGACATGTATGATCCAACTCTGTTGAAGGTCGAGGTGTTGCGACTGGAGAAGCGATTGGATGATCATCTGCTTTATCTGCGAGATGCACTGGAAGAGTATAGTACCTTTGATTTGAACATGGAGCCGGAAATTCTCCCAGAGGGTGCTCCTGTTCCGGTGAACGATGTCAAGGTAACGCTCAAGCCGAGACCGTGGTATGCCCGGTGGGAACGTCACGAACTGCAAGGTGTGGCCAATATCGATGAGCACATGAATGAGAAGAAACGTCGCAAGGCGGAACGATTGGCCACCCCCTGGGAAAAGTACGATTTGATGAAGGAGTACAGGAAGAGTATTCCGGAGGAAGAACAGAAGGAAATCTTTGCCGAAGTGTATTCGCAGCTGCATCAGATGGAGCTCACCCGCAAGAAGATGAAGAGGAAGCGTACGTTCATCAAACCAACGAAGTTAGCTTGAACAAGGGGGGAAAGGTGTTTGAAAAGTTTTTTGTGTAGTTGAATAACGAATAAAAATGCATGTTACGTATGCGAAAGATTGATGTTTTTTTTTTGCTGCGCGAATTTAAAAAGTTGATTGAATAGGCATTCAACGATAGGATAATCAATACATTGAAAGACGACCGTAACCGTAGAACGTCTCTGAATCTACCTACATTTCGAGGTTGGACGAATAGTGGAAGCATGGTGAACCCGTAGCTAAAAATCTCTTCAATAAAGTATAAAAAAAAAATGTGATTGAGTCAAAAGAGACCATCGAGAATGATTCATGGAACTATGTGGAGCAGGTTTGGACAGCCATCAATCTGGGTGATTGCACACTATTTCTATGCGCTCTGTACATTCCACCTGATCGAGTCCGGGACAATGTACTCATCGATACTCACTGTCAGTCAGCTTTCACAGTTACCGAAGTTGCCACTCCAGTTGATGAGATATTCATTTTTGGTGACTTCAATCTGCCAGGCGTTTCGTGGAGTCCATCTCATAGCGGATTCCTGTATCCAAATCCTGATAGCTCTACATTTCACGCAGGAGCTATTAGCCTTCTCGACGACTACAGCGCAGCGACGCTTTCTCAAATTAGCAAGTTTGCAATGATATTACTTAGCCATTACTTGATGAATTTCAAAAATTGTGGTACCTCTAGAATTTCTAGGCTCTGTAGATTATTTTAATTGCAGAAAGATTGAAAATAGGGTCGTCTATTTTTTCAAAAGCGAAAAGAGTCGTTACCAGGCATGGAAAATCATTTACATTCATTTCATGCATTCCTTTTGGTTTGTTTTTTCCGTCGATCTTGTTTTCCGTGCTGAGCACCAATGCTACCGACGTGCCAGGAAGGCAGCTCCCACACCTGGACCCTACCTATCGACCCATCAACTCATGAACCGGGGACCAACGGCTTTACTTCCCATCCGAAGGAAGGCGTGATCAGAGATGTTATGCCTCAGAACATCCCGGCGGCGCCGACTGGGATTGAACCCAGGCCTGCTGGGGTGAGAGGTAATCACGCTTACCACTACACCACCGGCACCGTTATTTCATGCATTCATTTACATTCATTTGCCTCTAACTTTTTTTTCAACAGCATTCCGCAAAATGATGTATGGAACTTTTGTAGGTTTTGTTATAAGCTAAAACTTTTGTTAAGAACTCAAATCTGTATCTCTTATGCATAATGAATTAGAGCGGGAAGAACTCGTTACAATCACTGAAAAACAGTAGTGGATTCTGTTTGCTCTGGTTCGTCATGCATAAGAGATACGGATTTGAGTTTTTAACAAAAGTTGTAGTTAATAACAAAACCTACAAAAGCTCCATACATCATTTTAAGGAATTCTGTTGATGAAAAAAGTTAGGGGCAAATGAATGTAAATGAATGCACGAAATGAATGCAAATGATTTGCCGTGCCTGGCGTTACACGTTTTTTTAAAGGTGTGTTTTTGGGTTTTGCAAGTGGTTTAAGATCCATAACTTATATCCGTATAAGTGGTCTATCCATAAACCTGGTCCTAGAACTCCGCGGCTTTTTCGAAAACATTAGGAACTGTGATATAAGAAAGAATTTGGGTTCATGACATAAACATGGACTCAGATGGTCATCGGACCGTCCTCCGGAAGATCCGGAACAACCGTAAAAGTGTTCAATCTATGAAACTGATCCTAGAGGTCCAAGTTTTTTTTTAAACACTTGGGACTGTCATATATAAATTAATTAGGGGTCATGACATAAAAATGTATCTAGAAGGTCATGGGACCGTCCTCCGGAAGATCTGGAACTTTTTTTAAAAATTGTCAATCCATGAAACTGATCCTAGAGGGTTTTTCGAAAGCATTAGGAACTGTGATATAAGAAATAATTTGGGATCATGACATAAACAAGGACCTGTATGGCCATAAGACCGTCCTCTGGAATATCCGAAACATCCGTAAAAGTGATTTATTCATGAAACTGATCCTAGAGCTCCGCAATTGATGATTCTATAAAATCTCAATCCCAATAATTTCAGGCATTGAAATTGTCGCTTGCCAAATAAATGTGAAGAACAAAGATCTTTGCATAGCTTCTGTATATGTCCCTCCAAGGACTTCCATAAACCGCCGTCAGCTTTGGAGTTCAGTTAATATCCTTCCATCTCCAGTTCTAATACTGGGCGATATGAACTCACACGGTACTGGTTGGGGCGAATCATACGATGACAATAGAGCGGGTATTTTCTATGATTTGTGCGACGATTTCAACTTGACTATCTTGAACACTGGTGAAGCAACACGTATAGCAAACCCTCCTGCTCGAGAGAGCCGTCTTGACATTTCTTTGTGCTCTAACTCACTATCATTAGATTGTCTGTGGAAGGTTATCAATGATCCCCATGGTAGTGATCACTTGCCAATTATTATTTCAATCAAAAGTGGTCTTCTAAAAACAGATCAGTCAATTCAAGTTCCTTTTGACCTCACGAGGAACATTGATTGGCAACAATTTGTATCGGCGGTAACTCTTGGTATTGATTCTACCGATCCTCTACCACCACTGGAAGAGTATCGTTTCTTTACCGAGCTAATCTACAAAAGCGCATTAGAAGCTCAGAAACGACGTGTTCCAAGTGCATCCCTCAAAAGAAGACCCGCCACCCCTGGCTGGGATGACGAATGCACAAAGTTGTATCTTGAGAAATCCAATGCCTTTAAAGATTATCGTAGACATGAAAGATCTGAGCTTTTTGAAAAATATCTAAAGCTTGAAAAAAAGCTTAAAAACTTACTAAAAGCAAAGAAACGAAACTACTGGCGTACTTTTATCGAGGGACTTTCTAGAGAAACCTCGATGACAACGCTTTGGAAAAAGGCTCGCTATATGCGAAACCGCTCATCTTCCAATGAGAGTGAAGAATACTCCTCCCAATGGATATTCGACTTCGCTAAAAAGGTTTGTCCAGATTCTGTTCCAGCACAACCAACTTTACGGGATACAGTCCGAAGTAACGGTTCTCTGGATGAACCATTCACAATACTGGAATTTTCAATGGCACTTCTTTCATCGAATAACTCTGCTCCGGGAAGCGATGTGATCAAATTCGACCTTCTAAAAAACCTCCCCGATATCGCTAAAAGACGATTACTTAACCTATATAATTCATTTATGGAATTCAATATAGTTCCACCAGCATGGAGACAGGTTAAAGTAATAGCTATTCAAAAGCCTGGGAAACCAGCGTCTGATCACAATTCTTACCGTCCGATCTCTATGTTATCATGCCTGAGGAAATTATTAGAAAAAATGATCTTATTAAGACTTGACCATTGGGTTGAATCAAACAATCTACTTTCAAATACGCAATTTGGTTTCCGGAAGAGTAAAGGAACAAACGATTGTCTAGCGATGCTTTCATCTGATATTCAACTGGCCTTTGCGCACAAGGAGCAATTGGCTTCAGTCTTTTTGGATATTAAGGGCGCATTTGATTCGGTTTCCATAGACATACTGTCAGACAATTTGCACAGTAGTGGATTACCCGGTATTTTGAATAATTTCTTGTATAATTTGCTGTCAGAAAAACAAATGACCTTCAAACTAGGTCAACTGACAACTTCTAGAATTAGCTACATGGGCTTACCCCAAGGTTCATGTTTAAGTCCCTTGCTTTATAATTTCTATGTCAAAGATATTGATAACTGCTTAGATAATCTATGCACGCTTAGACAGCTTGCAGACGATGCCGTGGTTTCCACGAGAGGTCCACGTGCAGAAATCTTGCAAAGACCATTGCAAAATTCCCTAAATAATCTGTCTCTCTGGGCAAGAAATTTAGGGATCGAGTTTTCACCGCAAAAAACTGAATTGGTAGTGTTTACAAGGAAGCGGTTTCCAGCCCAACTGCGTCTAAATCTTTTGGGCAGAGACATTACCCAATCTTTAACCTTAAAATACCTTGGAGTCTGGTTTGATTCAAAATGCACTTGGGGTACCCACATTACGTATTTGAAACAAAAGTGTCAACAAAGGATCAACTTTCTACGATCAATTTCCGGGACATGGTGGGGTGCTCACCCGGAAGACCTCATTAAACTATATAAAACGACTATTCTTTCAGTTCTTGAGTATGGCTCTTTTTGCTTCCTCTCGGCAAGAAAAACCCACCTAATTAAAATGGAACGCATTCAATATCGTTGTTTACGTATTGCCCTTGGCTGTATGCATTCAACACACAATATGAGCCTAGAGGTACTAGCGGGCGTAAAACCCCTGCAGAACCGTTTCTGGGAGCTCTCATTAAGAATATTGATTAAATGTAGTGTCAGTAACAACCTTGTGATTGAAAACTTCGAAGAAATGCTCGAATTGAGCATCCAGTCTAGATTCGTGCGAATCTATCTTAATTATATGTCATCGGATATTAGCCTTCCTTGCTATAACCCCTCTCGTGTATGCTTTACTAACTACAGTTCCCCCATTGGCTATGATCTCTCCATGAAACAGGCTATTCAAGGAGTTCCAGATCAACTTCGACCTATCTCAATTCCCCGCATTTTTGCTGAAAAGTACCAACAAGTCAATTGCAATAGAAGATTTTTCACTGATGGATCCACTGGCTTCGGCGTCTTCAATGAATACTCAACCGCCTTTCGGAAACTTCAGGAACCTTGTTCCGTTTATGTTGCTGAGCTAGCAGCAATCAACTTCGCATTGGGGATGATTTCCGATATGCCCATAGACCATTACTTCATCTTCTCGGATAGTCTCAGTTCGATTGAGGCTATTCGGTCGATGAAACAAGGTAGGCACTCATCTTATTTCCTTTCAAAGGTAAGGGAACAGATGAGTTTGCTGGTCGAAAGATCATATATGATTACCTTTGTATGGGTCCCCTCACATTGCTCAATCCCAGGCAATGAAAAGGCAGACTCTCTCGCAAAGGTGGGTGCACAACAAGGCGAGATTTATGATAGAAGAATTTCACATGATGA